CTATAGAAAGCATAGGGCTCGAAATTCGACCTTTTGACATCGGGCGCTTTTTATTAAAGTCACGGATGTCTGTCAATCATGGCCGCATGGAGTTGATTAGTGTGCCACTCATTTTTGGAGACCACAAGGACTCGCAGGGCCCGAAGATATTAGTCGATGGAGCTCACAATCCAAATGCTGCCAAGTTACTCAAAGATTATGTTCGTCTTGTTCACAGCAAGGGCAAGATACCTGGCGATGGCTTTCCGGGTAAAAATGGTTGGCCAGTTACCTGGGTACTTGCTATGACTGAGGGCAAAGATGCACACGAGTACCTGAGGATACTACTACAGCCAGGAGACACTGTCGTCACTACAACTTTCGGTCCAGTCGATGGCATGCCTTCAGTGAAGCCAATGGATCCGAATCAACTGCTTGAAATAGCAAAGTCTGTACAACCTGGGGTTACAGGAATGGCGATGCCGAAACAGGGTGCGCTGCGAGCACTGTGTGCAGCGAAGTTCATCTCAAAAAGAGGCCGACCTGTGGTATTGACTGGCAGTCTATACCTTGTTGGCGACTTCCATCGTGAATTCCGAGTACGGAATAGCAAATTTTACTGGAAAGATCCAGAGTTCGAATATGACCGCAAACTTTTCAAAACCATACTGAAGGAAGAAGAACACAGGGTCAACAACTGGTTTAGTGGTTATCCTGCAGAAATTGTCAATAAAGTTAGCGCCAAAGATGAGAAGGGAAATGCAGAGTGGAACAAGCAGATTGCTCATCAGAAACAGAGAAGAGCTATTCAAGAAGAAATAGAGGCCCTCGATCGAGAAATGGAGCAGCTTGCAGCAGAGGAGCAGCGTATCGGGCGCCGACAGTCTCCAGATGCCGAAGTCCTTGGCAAGCCAGCGGATTCAGAAAGCGCTACATCTGTTGATGAGCTTGAAACCTCAACAGAGGAGCGTGATGACAATGCAGATGAATCTGGTGAGTCAATCCAACCTTGCAAAGAATCACGCACTCATAACCACACAGTCCAGGAAGACGAGACGAAATATGAAAAAGACCAAACACCAGAGCAAAGTAGAAGACTGAAAGTTCGAAGGGTCATTTGGTCGGGCAGATCAGCAATTGAGTAGCCCGAAGCCCATATACTTTTCGAGAAGAAATTATGTGATCGATGAAGAGGCGGAGCATGAAGATGTCTATTGTACGTCACAAGATCGTAGCTATTCTGAGAGGGGGGCTCGGCTATCTAACCGAGTTGGATGAAGGAGGGTGAGACTTTCCTGGTATGTTTCAAAGACGAACGACCCTGTCGGTGACCAATAAAATACAAGACTTTCGCACAGCATACTATATGTGTGAATTTGAGTAAGCCGGAAACTCCAACCTCATAAGGTACCCTCGACTTATCTAGGTTAGAATACCAAGCGGATCATCGATAACAACAACCTGAAGTACCTTGGACTTGCCTACTACAGTAACGAGTATTTGGCAGCCTAGAGCAGCGTACAGATGCCCCAAGACACTCATCCTCCTGGCATTGTGAACATGGAAGAGAGTGCCTCCGAGCCAAGGCCGTGAGAAAACCCACAGACAGCGGTTCATATTCAGAGTTTCAACGGGCACCATTGTCAAAACAAGCCACACTCCCGTCCGGGCGGCAAGACCTGCATACATATATGGGGCCCGAGATCACGTCGCTTGCTGTAATATGTGTAGACGCAGCAGGTGTGACGGCAGCACCTCGGACAATAATGCAAATAATGCCCCAGATTACTACGGCCCTGCTTTCTTGCCTATGAATCGGATCCACCCGAATACTTGCATACAATCCTCTGAGGCACAAAAAGCAAGTCGGACAAAACTACCGAATGGTGTTCATGTGATGGATCTGCTAACCGCCATGCACCCATCACTCCAGGAAGTATCTCCAAGATTGGCCGAGTGTAATTGCATCCTCATCCCTTTGGCACATCTTCTCTCACACTCCCGCCTCCAATCCCACGTCAGCTTTAACGATATTCTCCTGGAACTAAGATGCGGTCCAGGCCCAGGGACGTAAGTATGCGTTCCAAGTTTCTCAAGCCTCAGCCGCTCTCCCGATAGGATTGGGTCCAGGATCGTGGCCACAAGGTCACTCGGGTCTTTGCTCAGTCGACATGACGCCGAACTGGGCATGATCGCCTGTTAGTAGGATTGGCCCGACTGGATCCTGAGCGTTCCGTGGCTTGGCGCTGCAACATCCTCCCGTTTCGGGGGGGCCCACTTCCAAGCACCATAATCTTGGCCTCATCACGCAAATGCGTGGGGTCGTTCTCAGTCACCGCGCTACTGCCACTGCCCTCTAGGCTATGCGACACTGAAAACACCAAAAGTAAATCTCTTGAGGTCATATGGAAGATGCAAAAAATGAAGAGAGCGCTTGTTGTGATACAGATGACAGGAAGATGACATGTCGTCGATGCATTCTTCAATAAGCAGTGCGCAAATTGGCGAACACGGCAACTCGAGGATTTGTAACGACGTTACTTGTCGGCGCACTTATCGACCTGTTCACAGTGGTGAAAACCCAGCTCCAGGCTCCCTTGAGTATCCTAGTCGCTTCCGTCGCAAGCCCTGTTCACCTCCCTCGGTGTTGCAGGCCATCTAAGGAATGCCGCTAGGGCTTGGGACTTGCTTTTGGTTGGTCCGCAGATTACACGGGACATGGTACTTCCCCCCTACATGATACATGGCTGGTAGAAGAAAAAACGTCTGTAGGTACAGAGAGGCTCAGGAAAAGTCCAGTACAGTTTTGGGTAGAGGGATCGAATAGTCGCTTGTTGAAGGTGCAGATCGAGCCGCAAACTGCTATAGTCGAGGGGTGTTTCAGGGAATGATCCCTCTTCATGGTCGCTTCCTTAGTATTGGGCTTAGCACCTGGTCATTTGATGCCGTCTATGTAGATAGTGGCTGCCCATTTGCCTGGCCTTCACAAAAACCAACGTTCTTTACTTCGTACTATGTCCTTGCTTTTCCTTTTTGTCTGAGCACTTATTGGTTTATTGCAGCGACGACCCGTCTTGCCATCCGCTGAGCGGCTTCTTTATATCCTCTATCACATCCCATCCAGGCTTCACTGCGACAGCCACGATGAATCATAATTATTCGAAGGATTTAATGATTGGTTTGGCGATCGCTTTCGCCATTCTACCAACCTTTTTTGTCGGCTTGCGCATATGGGCGAAGCAGATATCTAAACGCATTGGATGGGACGACTTCCTCACATTAGGTGCTCTGGTGAGTACTTGAGCGGAGACTACATGCATACAAAGACATCCAGCTAATTAAGTTCAGGCGATCTGCTTAACGTGTTGTTTTCTACAACTAGCCAGTGAGTAAACTCGATCAACCCCGCAGATAACCATTAACTTTATGAAAAGCGGCGATACATGGCTACTTGGGCGCCCATCAGCCTCTTGACAAAAATGGCCAACCAATTATGGATGACCCTGGATTGATATTCTTTGAGGAGGTAAGTTGTTTCGAGGATTGTGTAACTCTCCGTGCTGACATGTCTCCAGACAAAATTTGCTATCAACATGATCTCTATTGTTGGGCTCGGACTCGTCAAGTCGTCAATTCTAATCCTATACAAGACCATCTTCGACGTACGCAAATTCCGTATTTGCGTATACATCGTGCTTGCGTATGTGGTAGCCTGGACCATCAGCTTCACATTCTCGCATCTGTTTACGTGTTACCCTATCACTGTCTTTATCGAGCCCTACTACGGGAACAGCTGCGTCGAGACCGTACCAATGTTTTTAGCACTACTTGTAAGTCGCTCATGACACGATCTACTTGGCTCTTCCAAGTGAAGGACTGGTTCATGTCTGGTTGGAGTTGCAACTTCAGAACCTATGCTGACTGGTGCTGCAGTACACTGACGTTATAGCGGACCTTGCCATCCTTTTCCTTCCCATACCCATGGTCATGAGCGTGCGCATGCAAATGAAGAGAAAGATAGCAGTCATTGTGATGCTTTCGTTGGGTGCGGCGTAAGTCACTTAATCTTCCAAGGACGAAGAGCCACGGCATAACTGACAAAACAGTGTCTGCGCTGTAAGCATCACCCGAGTTGTAGCGACGTACTCGATAGCAAAAGAGTATATCAAACACCCCGAAGATGTCATTTACTACACAGCCCCCGTATTCTTCTGGACGAACATCGAATTATCCCTAGGCCTCGTGTGCGCATGCTTGCCCACTCTACGCCCCATTTGGTTCTTCTTCTACCCGAAAGAAGAGACACGGACTGGCTACGGCTACGGCTATGGGTCTTCTGGACGTGGATATGGATCGTCAGGCTTGCATGGCACGAAAAACAGCTCGTTTAGTGCCAAGCTGGCGCGTAAGCCCTACCAGTCGATTGATGAGATGGGTACGTAATGCAACTCGATAACATACTATCCAAGTAACATACAAGCTAATGCCACACAGAGCTAACGACTCGATCTGAGGAGGTTCTCCCTACAGCAGCGGAACACGATTCTCCAAGTAGTACCGACGAACACAGGATCAGGAAGGAGGTCACTATTCATCAAACCCTTGAATGATAAGCCCGAGGCCAAGCATATTGCGCTGTTAGGATAGTCTTAGGTACCCGGGCAGTGACATCTAGCGCATTGGCTTTTGCAATAGTATGTCGTTGCATCCATTCCATACGCCACGGATTAATCCTCAAACGGGTGGCCCGCTGCCAGAACGTGACAGGTACACTAACCGGTGATTGGTGGGTGGCGTTCCCAGCCGGATGGTTCACTCGGCCTTTTTTTCGACCACGCCACTACCAGCCCCCCTTCACCCCCAACGCCAAGTTGTGAATGATACGCCGTCTTTCCCTTTTTCCGACAGCACGTTTCAGGGAATACCCTGCGTCAATGTAACCTCAGTTACGTACCACTATCAAGATATCTCTTCCGGATTACACAAATCACGGACAACGCAGCCCCGCCCCACAGTATCGCTCACGTTATACTGAAACTACTGCTACGACGAGGATCCTGTTCATGCCTGCCCTGTACACCTCTAGTCCGTGGGGTTCTCGAGCGGCACATGGGCCGGGGACGACCCGGCAATTGAGGCGGGGGGGGGGGGAGCATATCGGGAGCGGCTTGCTCCAGAGGGCGAGGTCCTTAATGCGGCTACACCCGCGGGCGTCGGGCTAACTAAGTGCCATCGAGCATACATATTAATAAATTAACCCATGTCTTGTACAACGGCTTTGATTCCCAGATCTAGGCCAGCGTAGTTCAACATGCACCTATTCGCTAGCGACAATGAGATTTTGCCGACTCGATTGTCAATGCAAAGCGGCAACGTCCATTGCGCAGCTCTAGTAGCTCGCGGCTCAAAGAAGATTACATTTCGGCATGCACGCTTACCGAGTAGAAGGCCTAATGTGAATTAAAAAGCCGTTGAGCCGCCTACCATGGATTCGGCACCGACTACCTTGTTCCTGTCGCCATGAAGGTCTTGTCACTCTTGATTTCCTTCGCTGCCGCGGTATCTGCCCTCGCCCTCAAGCAACGCGATGTCGCATCCGACTTGAAGAACCTGGTCCCAGGATCTTCGGTCAACGTCGAGGTGAAGGCACGATGGAGTGACTTCAACGCACCCTTGCCTTCTGTCACTGTCACTGTGCAGGCTGAAGACGATATTGCGAAAATCGTAAGTTCGACCCACCAATCGCCATTTGCAGTGGCTAACATGCACCCGAGGTCAAATACTGCACAAAGACCGGGATATCGTTTTTGACACAGAACGGAGGAATTGGATGGGCCAAGACGTTCAAGTTGGGCGAATGGGGTGTTCTTATTGACCTTGCTGGCCTAAACAGTGTCACCGTGGCTGCGGACAAGAACACCGCAACTATTGGTGGTGGCGCAAGCATCGGAGATGTCGTTGCAGCGGCTGATGCTGCAAGTGCTCTGGTCATTACTGGCAACTGCAACTGCGTTGGCGCCCTGGGAGCCATGCTCGGTGGTGGTTACGGTGCGTTTGTTTCGATCAGTCATATGAAGAGAGTTGAGCTGACTTGCATCTAGGCAACCTGATGGGCGAGGTCGGTTTCGGAGTCGACAACATCATTTCGATGCGCGTCGTCACTGCAGAAGGCGAATTGCTCACTGCATCGGCCACATCGAATCCCGACCTTTTCTGGGCGCTTCGCGGAGCAGGACCAAATTTTGGTGTCGTCGTTTCCGCAACTGTCAACGCGAGGCCAGCCACGGCCGAAGACCGCACCGCCTTCATCAACAACCTCTTCTTCTCACCCGACAAGCTAGAGCAAGTTGCGCAAGCTGTCGAAGATCTCCCGCTCACCCCAGAGCAACGCGTCTACCTCGTCTTGACATCTAGTGGCCCGCCACTCAACGAGCCTTCCATCCTTGTAACTGGTTTCCTACGCAAGGGCACGCTTGAGAGCGGCCGCAAGGCCTTCGCCCCCTTCTACGATCTCGGCCCCTTATCCAACTCCAGCGCCGTCACCACTTACGATCACTGGAACGACGCAAACATTGGCTTTTGCACCCGCGGCGGCCGTAAACCCACATTCAGCTCCACAATCGAGGGCATGAATGCCCAGAAGTGGCCGCAGATCTGGGACTTGTACAAGGGCTTCCAGGCTAAGGGACCGAACTCTGCCATGCTCGTCGAGCGCTACAATCTAACCAAGGCTCAATCGGCGCCCGTTGGCTCGGTCGCCTTGAACGAAGCACTCCGCCGCGATGCATTTGCCCAGGCTCTTGTCATCCCGTGGTATGACGACGCGAGTTTGGATGCTGAAGCGTTGGATTTTGGAAGCAAGGTTAGGGCGCTGTGGTCGAGGAGTAGTGACCCCAAGAACGATCCTACGTAAGTTCAACTTCCCGTTTTCGTGATCGTAAGAGATTGGTTGGCTAATAGGGATTTTTAGTTACCCGAATTTCGCATTTGGCGACGAGACGAATAAGGCTATTTATGGATCTAGCCTTCCGAAGTTGCAGACGCTAAAGAAGAAGTATGATCCTAAGGGGAAGTTTAACCAGTGGTTCCCGACACAAGTATAGACACTAGATATCGGGTCATCTTTACAAAAAACACTTAATTAATAAACACCCAATCATATCGATTCTGCAAATACCAGCAAGATGAGCTCTTTGCTAGGCTTTGTGCTCCCAGAATAGATCGGTTGCACCCGTGACGTCATGTTTCCTGGAACGTAACTATCCCGTAACTGTAAATCGTCTTGAATGCTCAATTTAGACTTTTTCCACCGTCCCACATTTCTCTTGTAGAGTATACCGATAGCTTATTGATCGAATACGAAATCCGTAGTCTGTTGGGTATTGGATGATCTCGTTCCCAGGAGTGATCTGCCGCGTACTTTCTCGCCGTATAGATGAATAATAAAACCCGCTCAGTCCCTAGCCTCGAGCCCTGACTTTTGGTCAAGGCATCAATGCACCCATGTCTGAACAACTTGTAGAGTTGTGTAAACGTCTCTGTCCCAAGTCTCAGAGACATTTCCTTGCGCCTAGTATTCTCCATTTCCCAGCGGATGAATCCCTGATACCATATACCAAAACTCTCTTTTCCCCGAAATTCGCTTAGGCGTTCAATCCTCATCCTCCACCAACCTCCTTACCTTAAACATCTGCTCCCCAAACGCATTCCTAAACGCCGGAATCTTCTTCCTCGTCATCCAAATCGTCAATACAGGCACTTTCTTCATCTTCACCTCATCTTTCTCCTTCTGCCCCCCTCGCCCATCCACATCCATAGATTCAAACGCCTCTTCTTCTTCTTCTTCTTCTTCCTCCTCCTCACTCTCCGCCCCTTCCACCTCTTTCTTCTGCACATCCGCAACTCTCGCTTTCCGCTCGATATCGATACTTGTAAGCATCGTATACATCGCCCACTTCTCCACCGGCCCATCACCAACCTCCTCTTTACCACTCGGCGCGACGATCCTGCGAACCATGTCTACGATACCAACCAGTTTCGTCGTTCCTTCACCTTGCGCTGATACTGCTATGATGACGTCTTCGCGCTTCAAAGCGTCGGGCATGTCGATTGTAGATGTGGGATCCCGATACGCACCCAGGTATGTTTTGAGGCGATTGATACCGGATTTTACATTTTGATTCTTGGAAAAGACGACGGGGATAACGTTGCGTGTACCTTGGAACCGCGTCTGGGATTCGAGTAGCTTGAGTAGGTCTGGTGGGAGGCGGGTCCAGGGTTCGTAGAGAGATGGGTGGATGGTATGTGGAGAGCCTTCTTGGGATTGCTTCTTTGGAGCAGTACTTTGAGTGTTGTTTGAAGCTTTTCGCTTTTTGGTGGGATCGGAGCCGGTTTCCTGGGCGCCGATGATGGGGAGTGTAGGGCCTTCGCTTGAGTATGGGGGTGTGGCTGTGACTGTGGTTGTGTCGTTGTCTTTTTCTGACGAGGACGCGAAGATCTCGCTCATGCGCTTTGGTTTGGCCATATCTGCTACCTGTCCGGTTTTTCGGGAGATCCGGGTCTATCTAATATTAACTTCCGATGGTTCTGGGGACTCCACAGCAAACGGCGCAGTGACGAAATTTGGGAAGCTCGACGCGCCAAAATCTCAAAGACGCGCCGGAGATAAGTAACATGACATACGCTCTTATCGCCGAATGGCGGCACATGCATACATCATCTCATCTAGCTCCCCAGACCAACATTACATACTTTGTTATTTCTCGAGTCCCTTGTGAAACAGAATAAATTTGGTGACTCGAGATTGCCACCGGCACACCATGAATGTCGTATCATCCGAATCCTGCAATTCAGAAGGCCTCGCCACACAAACTCCTACACAAGACCACACTCGGTACGTGCGACTTTCGAACAATATCAAAGAACTCAAACTCAAGAAACCAGACTCAACTAACCCCTGCTTCCAACAAAACAGAAACACCGACCCAGCTCCAAGCCTTCTAAGTCTCCCAGCCGAACTCCGCCTAATAATCTACGAACACACATTCACCCACCAAACCATCCACGTGCACCCAAAATCCTACTCCTCCCTAGGCACCGAACCCCCACTGCAACCCCATAGCGCCCAAAAATACCAATCAGTAATTTCCCTCCTCCTAACCTGCAAAACAACCCGCAAGGAAGCAACTCCAACTTTCAACGCACTCGTTACTTTCGACCTAACAGCTTATTATGACTGCATGGCCGCAGTGTACGAATTGGGACCCGATATATGTCGGGGTATTAAGAGTATACGCGTGGATTCGAGACTGGCGAAGAGGTTGGCGGCGGGGACGCAGCAGGGCCGTGTGAAGGAGACGGGGTATCGGGATTTGCTGCCGGCGTTGCGGTATGTGTATGTAAGTGATAATATTGTGGTGTTCGGGGTGTTGGCGATAAGTCATGATTTAGCTATTAGGGCGTTGCGGGTATATTTTGGGTGGGAAGGGTTGGAAGTGCATTTTCCTGGGTGATTTGAGTTAGTTGTTCTACCTTGATACTTTATGTTGATTGTTAGTCTTTTTTTTCGGCGAGGCTTTTTATTTTGGTGGCTTAGTGGTATATATGAAGATATATGAGCTTCCTATTTAGGAAATTGTAAAGAGGGAAACTTTAAGCAACTGAAATTCTCAGGCCTTTCGATAAATAGCAGCGTCAATACCCACTGCTGCACTCATGACTTTCTTCGTCCACTCGCTTACAGGCTCAAGCGCTTTGACTGTATCCCCCAACTCATTACTCTCATCAAACTCATGAATAGCCAAGAACGACAACTCCTTCTCTTTCTCATCGCCACCCTTCTGCGCAACCAACGAATACCGACACGTACGCAGCCAACCAGGCTCTTTCGACATCTGCTCATTATGCTCATCGCGGTACCAAGCATCCAAGTCCGCAGCACCATCCGGTGCAGGCTGCATAAGCGCTACAAGGAGCGTATGCGCAGGGTTATCTGAATGAAGAGAGAGGATGAATGTTAGTAATGGCTCAATTTATCTCACTTTCTTTCCACCTTCTCATTCTTCTTCTTCACCCACCCCCCATCCCAGTAACAACCAAAAAGCAATATCAAGAAGAAGAAGAAGAAGAAGAAGAAGAAGAAAACGACCTACCCCTTCCCACACCCCTCCCCCTCTCCTTCTCATAAACCTGCACCTCGCTAAACCCCCTAACATCCGCCTCCCCGTGCACCACCCTCTCGCCCGCCCAAAACTTGGCCACCTGCTCTACATTCACATGCGCAACATCGTCCATTAAGCTGACGAGAAGATGCTGTTTGGGGCACGAGGCGTTGGCTGCTTTGTAAAAGGTCGAGCGGGTTGTGCCGAGGACGTGGGATGTGAAGAGTTGGGGGAGGAGAGCGAATTCCGTACTATCTTTGTTGTTGCTATTGTCTTCGGGGGAGGAAGAGGAAGAGAAAGAAGATGTGGGTTGGATGAAGGATAGGATGAGGCCTGTGGTGGTGGTGGTGGTGGTGGTAGTGGGAGCAGAAGACATTGTTTGGATATGAGAGGAGAATGGGTGATTGGGAGAGGTATGGAGTGAAGTTTCTGAGTATTTACAACTTTTTTTTATGCGCGAAGAGTGGTAGCAAAGAAGGAAATAAGTGGCATGGTTAGGTTATTTTGAGATATCATTTGTTGCTGTTGGTATGTATAGCGAAGTAGGACGCCTTGTCCCCACTTTCTCCGGATTAGTTTTTCCGGGAAAAAGCAATAGCTAAGGTAGTCAGCATTTATACAAAACATATTTACTGAGATAGAAACAAAAAAATGCAAGACCTTAAAAGTAGTAATCTTATTAAGAAGCTTCTATATGAGTATCTTGTCTAATTGTTTACAAATACATCTAACATCAAGACAGCTTCATGACATAACGTCATTTACAACTTGCTCTTTTCAATACGCTTGAACAAAACATCGCTGTCGGGGTATGGGTCGATAGTAATGTCGTTGAGGGGGTTGAGCTCGCTGGCCCTATAGAACATGTCCTCATACACCTTTCCGTCTGCGCGGCCCAGACTGCTGTCCAGGACCCAGTCGTCGAAGCCCCATGCGTCGACAAGCCTGACGGCATGGGGGCGGATGTCCTTGAGCAAGTTCATAACAGTGTTTGTCCTTGCAAGCGTGATCTGAATCTTGCTGCAGGCACCCGAGGTGTAGAACTCGGCGCCTTCTTGTTCAAGTGTGTGCAGAGCGAAAAGGCGGAACAACTTTATGAGGACTTCAAGAAGGTTCTTGTCAATCTTGCCCTCCTGCTCAATCTTCTTGAGCGTGGAGAGGTTAGTCTTGACGACCATGTATTGAGCGTGAGCCTTGCTCAGGCGGTAGAAGTCAACGAGAAGGTCATTCCAGGGCTTCTTCTGCTCATCACGGTGCTTGCTGGCCTCGAAGGCAAGGAAAGAGACGCGCCAAGCGAAGGCAGCGACGAGATCCTCGTCTGAGCCAATGACGTCGAAGGCGCAGCCAATGTTGCGGCGAGAGTGGAACTCGGAGAGAATCTGAGTGGTGTCGTTTGTGGGCTTCTCCTTGTTGAGGACGGAGCGAACAGACTTGAGCATCTGTGAAGAATGTCAGTATAATGCGATCTTTATCGAAAGGGATGAAACTTACGTAGCGAGCTACTTGCTGTGTCAACATGTAGTTGTCACCCTCCCAAGTAGTGGTAGGCAGGTAGTCAGAGTACCAAGGTCCGATGCCACTAAAACTAGAGTAGCCGTGACCACCGCAGGCACGTCGGCAGACCTCGAGACCCTCACAGGCGATGGAGCTGCTGAGCGACTTGAGCGCACAAGATGAAGCGTGAAGATCCGCCAGCATATCACTGCCAGACTGGACTTCCTCAGGCCCGGCACCGCGCTTGCTTGGTGCGTTGCTTGCATTGCCCTGTGCAATCTTCTTTTGGTTCTCTTGGTACATTTCCATCATCGCCTTTCCGGTAAAATGAAGGGCGAAAGTTGCTGCAAGGAGCGGCAACAGACGGATCTGGACCATGGTGTAGTTGAGAACGGGAGTCTCAGCCTCACCAGCAGGAGCATCGCGATCCTGGAACTGGCGACGTACGGCACAGTAACGAGTTGCAATGGTCACACCACGAGCGAGTACGCTACCGGCTTGCATGACGATCGTCGACCGAACCCAAGTTAGGGTACCGTAGACGAGAGATGGCGCGCCACGGCGACCAAACTTGTTGGTGGTGGGATCCACGTGCGTGTAACGAGCCAACATGCTGATATGCGGAACCTTGACCTTGTTAAACAGAAGGAAACCGTTGTCCATGGTATTGTATCCAAACTTGGGGCCAATATCTCCAATGTGAATGTTCTCGAGCGGCTCGTGTGTCTTCAGGTCTCGGATCTGGACACAAAATGGGGTAGGTCCGTAGGACTTTCCATCAATGATGAGTTGAGCCATGACGACGGCGTGGTTGGCTGTCCTTCCCAATGATCCAATCCACCACTTGCTGGCTGTCAGGTGTGGCGAGTGGATGGTGAAGGTCTTGTCGTCCTTGTTCCAGGTAGCTGTTGTTTCAAGCCCACGGACGTTGGAACCGTGGCCAAGCTCAGTCTGAGCATAGCAACCGATGATCTTGTAGTCATTGGCCTTTGTGAGCCATTTCTCCTGCTGTTCGGGGGTGCCTTGGCCTTCCAATGTCACCTGTATACTGTTAACGCATGATCAATTCAATTGGCGAAGGAGACATGCCTTGAACATGGAGTCGTGGAGACCATATGGACCAGGCTCACCAACGAGCTCCATGGCCATTCGGAATTCCTCGAGATTCCAGTTGTGCTGCTTCTTCAAGATCCTCAACCTCTTCTCTCTTGCAAGAGCACGCTCGAACTTGTCTATCCTGCCCATGAAGTAGTTTTGTGACTTGTCAAAGATCTTCTCGGACTTGAGAATGTCGAGGATCTTGTGCCTCATGGCGATGACTTCTTGAGTGTGCAGAAGGACCTCCAGGTCCTGCACCGGGACGTTTGAGCCGGCGCGTTCTGCTGCGAGCAATTCATGCCCTTGGACGCCCGAAGGCTTAAGTTGCTTGACCCAGTCTGGAGTTTGCTTCATTGTGATGGGTGATTGATGATTGAGTTCGTGGGGAAGGAAAGTTGTCTGGGGGAGTGAATAAGTATGGGTTACGAGGTGAGCCTCGGCTGCCGATCTGTGCCCAGAAGGTCCATGACGCGCTAGACAAAGTTCCGAGGTTTATCTTCCGCACGAGGCGCGCGTCAGGCCCGATTGCGATCAGATGAAAGCCCGAGACGTGAACATGACTGGAAGCAGAGCCATAGAGTGACTGTTGTCTGCGCTCGTGATAATGCACATGTTGTAGGTGCGGCTAAGCCCAGAAGCCCAGCCTTGCGTCAGATGAAGACCCTACTTGACCAATGAGGCATCTGGGACGGATTTGGCCCAGGCGATTGGTAGAAGCGAGCTCTTGGAATATCGACCCGACAACGCACAGTCGGTACGGGCTCCCCCGAAGCCGGTCGTATATGTATGCAGTCGTGTATGCGCAGAGTTCGAGGTCGCAGTCACATGTGTAGATACAAAGTCAGTACACGGGCATACCTGCCTGAACAACGATGGCACTCATCAGCAAAGATGCAGCAACGTTGGGGCTAGCGCGTGTTCTCTCGACCTCTGTCATGGCAACCTGGTGAGACGTGGATGAGCACGAGGATGCTGGTCGAGACAGCCGCAGCCCCGCCGCAAGCGAGCACCGCCTTGCCAGAAGGGTTGCCAAAGTGAGTGTAGCAGTGTGCGCGTGTCTCAAGTAGAGGTGAGTATGGGCAGGGAGCGTGTAGTAAGTAAGTAGTACATGTGGGAGCCACTGGCCCCTCTGCAGGCCTACCCGACGGACTAAGCAACGGACCCCGACGCGGCATGTGGACCCTATGGGAGTTCCGGACTGGCGGTTGACCGTGACAAGCAAAAAGAGTTTCCTCTCTCGACAGAGCAAGCCGATAAGAGTGGCCAGGCAGTGTGGCAGGGCGGCAGTGCTGCCGTCTTTGAGTGGCACGCGAGCTCCTGCAAGCAGGCGAGGGCAAAAGCAAGCGTCGCTGTGCCGGCTGCCTGACGAGCCATTGCGGTGCACAGCCTCGAGGCGGCACACAAGACAGCGGACCAGGCCTAGCCCAGCGCGTATTTGTAGGCTGAAGCGCAAGGGATCAAATCAGTCGTGCACAACAAGAGAGCTGGTGGGGAACAACGGCACAGAGAATGCGCTCCCCGTCGTCATCGCGTTTGGCCTCGAACAAACAGCCACAGCCCCTAGCGTGCACGGCCTTGCTGGCGGCTGTCAGGTAGCGCAGCGTCACTTTCTTTGCCTACAACACCAAGCCGACCTGTTGAATTTCCCTTTCCCCCCTCTCCGCGAGCTAGAGCACGCAATTCTTCTTCCCTGTCTTTCTGGTCCGGACTCCGTTTCTGTTCCACCGCACGGCACTAGACTTGCTCCTGTCTGGCCCCTACGCCTACACATCTCCCGAATTATACCCCCACACACACCACCCTCGACACTGTCTGCAATTCTATGCTCCCGGCCACGACCTCGGCGACCCTCAGATTCCTTTTCCTCTTCTCCCACCACTCCTCCTAGATACCGGACAACATGGGTCAGACACTCTCCGAGCCCGTCGTCGACAAGGTAATTGCCTCCCAATGCTGCCGCCCACCCCCGCCCCCGCACTGTGTCCTTCTTTCCACCCCCCCCCTTTGAAACGCGGCGACTGTCGCTTTGCATCGCCCGGGCACGGCGCGCATGCTGTGTTGCGTGATCTGAAATGCTGACATTGCATCTTTCTAGAAATCTGAAAATGGCGAGGGCGAGTCACTCATCTACGGTGTCTCCTCGATGCAGGGCTGGCGCATCAGCATGGAGGACGCACATGCCACCGTATTAGACTTCAATGCCGACGACACCAAGGGCACGCCCACCGACAAGCGATTTGCCTTCTTCGGTGTGTACGACGGACACGGTGGCGACAAGGTGGCGTTGTATGCTGGTGAGCAGCTGCACAAGATTGTCGCAAAGCAAGAAGCATTCAAACAGGGAGACATCAAAAAGGCTCTGCAAGACGGCTTCCTGGCAACAGATCGCGAGATTCTGTGTGGTAAGTTGAATGTCAACATCATCCCTATCTATCACGGGCCACCTGACACCTGCCAACAGATCCCAAGTACGAAGAAGAAGTGTCTGGTTGCACGGCATCAGTCGGCGTCCTGACAAAAGACAAAATCTACGTCGTATGTCATCCCCGCATCCTACTACGTTGCGACGCTCACACAGACAGGCCAACGCAGGTGACTCGCGCACTGTTCTAGGAGTAAAGGGCAGGGCAAAGCCTCTTTCATTCGACCACAAGCCGCAGAACGAGGGTAAGCAAACACGCCAACAGTTTGCAATCACTGCTAATATTTTCCAGCCGAGAAAGCACGTATTCAAGCCGCAGGTGGCTTTGTCGACTTTGGCCGCGTCAACGGTAACCTTGCTTTGTCTCGCGCAATAGGCGATTTCGAATTCAAGAAGAGCGCCGATCTTCCCCCAGAACAGCAAATAGTCACCGCTTATCCAGACGTCGAGATACACGATATCAACCAGGACGATGAGTTCCTGATTGTGGCTTGTGATGGTGAGAGGACTAGTCTCCGTGACCACGAGCTTTTACTGACTGGATTCAGGTATCTGGGACTGCCAGTCTTCTCAAGCCGTTGTCGAGTTTGTTAGGCGCGGAATTGTCGCAAAGCAGGATCTCGCTTCCATTTGCGAGAATATGATGGACAACTGCTTGGCCTCTAACAGCGACACTGGAGGTGTTGGCTGCGACAATATGACGATGATTATTGTTGGTCTCCTGCAGGGAAGGACAAAGGAGCAGTGGTACGAGGATATCGCAAAGCGGGTTGCGAATGGAGAGGGTCCATGTGCGCCGCCAGAGTATGGCAAGTCAGAAGATCCAGCCGAATCGCCCAAGGCGGAAGAGTAGTTCAGTTCTAATACAATCGTGTAGCCGAGTTCCGCGGTCCCGGTGTTCACCATCGCATTGACGATTCTCCTGATGACATCGACATGGATCTCGACAGCCGCTTCCGGCCGAATAACGGCAATGGCGGCCGCATCATCCTCCTCGGTGATGGCACAGAAGTCTCTACTGGAGACAATGAGCATGAGATGTTTGATAACGAGGATGAGGACAAGGATCTTGACTCGCAAGTCAACAAGTACAACCAGGAGGCCGACAACAAGTCGCGTCAGGACCGCCAAGGCACCCCCGGCCCCCATCATGAGAGCAAAGTTCAAGTAACCGAGTCACCATCGTCTGTAAAGACTGAAAAGTCTGATGCTCCCGAGCCTCAATCGAAAGAGGCTCAAGCCACGAAGACAAGCGAGAAGTAGCTTGTACTCACTTGATCTGGCCACAGCATTCATACAGGGCCATGAAAGACCGACCTCGATGCATATCAACATGTGGTGCCTACCTTACGAATCTTTTTGTCTTGCAAGCGATGACGTACGGGTATTGGTTTCTTGCAGGATCAAAGTAGTGGGCCATGGAAACAAGCCTCACGGAACCCATGCGGGTAGTGTTATGGAATGATACCTGGCGGACTAGAGTCGCCATCTCCTATGCCTAGCTATCTCTTTTTTCATGATACCTTTGTTCTATTGAAACAGAGCTTGCTATTGGTGTGCATGTACTTTTCCCCGCAGAGACTGTGACCACCAAGCTATGACGTCATAGTGATCCGAATGTGCTGTTGTGCGCATGTGCTCAAGAGCAATGCCGTCAGTATTCTACATGCCTGTTATTTCAGGCTCTCTCATCCCAATCGGGATTCAGTCCATAGGTTGTAGACCAGTTTTGGATGTGCTCACTCACGCTGTCGTCAGTTGCGCACTATCCCATCCAGTGAACATCACCACGCGTCATCTGGACGGCATTGCGATTACAACGACGGACCCAATCAAAGGCCCCCGCACTATACGAAATTGAGCCACCATCCACACTATCCAAGCGTTTTGCAGCTTCGTTTCAATTCTAATGCTTGCTACTCTCGGGAGTGTGGGTTCGTGTGCAGAATGCCGGAGATAATACAGCTGTCCAGGGTTCATGTCCACGCATCATCACATTCGGTCATGATTTGTGATGTTGGTGCAAGCGTCACAATTATAGTGTGACTTTGGTAGTGCCGGAAATAACAGGCTATGGTTTGGAGTTACTGGCTCTGATTGCAGATTCAAAAGAGTTTATACCAATCTTCAGTCTCACATCCTTCCGCATCTCGTAGCACTCCATCTACCCAGTCTTTCTCACAATGGACCCCGTCAACCCTAACCAGAAATTCCGAACAAGTCCGCAGTGGGCATTGTACCAGCGTGAAAACTTTTGGAAATCGAATGAAGGCGAAGTTCCAGTCTTCAATACTGGTATGGTCACCTTGCCTTGGTGACATCCTACTTCATTCATGCTAAGATATGTAATAGATCCCGGCAAGCTTGAAGAGTTAGCAAAAGAAAAACTTAGCCAAGGAGGCTGGTTCTATGCCTCCTCCAATGCTGGTCAATCGCGCACCCACACCGCTAATAGACAAGCTTTTTACCGGCACCGGATCATTCCGCGCATGCTTGTTGATACCAATCAACGTGACACTACGGCCGAGATCTTTGGACATAGAGTTCCTGCACCAATTGGATTTGCACCTGTCGGCATCAATAAGATCTATAACCCGCAAGGCGAGTTACCCGTAGCGAGATCTGCGGGAGCATTAGGACTCCCCTACTGCCTTTCAACAGCAGGTTCACAAAGCATAGAGGACGTCGGTCATGCTAATGACCAAGGCGAGAAGAATGGCCGAGGCGATGTCGGAACCGCTGCCGGCGGTGGTGAAAAAGGCCTCAGGTTTTTCCAATTATATATGCCACATGACGATGAGCTCACTCGCTCGCTCCTGCAGCGCGCAGTGAATAGTGGCTTTACGGCATGTATCCTCACAGTAGATACATGGCAACTCGGCTGGCGACACGACGACGTCGCAAACTCAAACTATGCTTTCTACCATGGTGTAGGCGCGGACCTGGGCTTGACTGACCCAGTCTTCAAAAAGAGATTGGAAGAGAAGGGCATTGATCCCACAACCCAACCAAACGAGGCCGGTGCACTATGGATTGACAATGTCTGGCATGGACGCGCGCACACATGGGAAAAGGCTGTATGGGCAATGAAGCTCTGGAAGGAGCTCAGCGGAGGCAAGCCATTCTCTTTGAAGGGCATCCAAAGCGTGGAAGATGCCAAGAAGGCAGTTGAATTGGGCTTCGACGGCATTGTCGTAAGCAACCACGCTGGACGACAGGTTGATGGTGCAGTTGCAAGCTTGGATGCTTTGGAAAAGATTGCCGACGGTATGCCTCCCAAATATCAGATTATGTTACCTCAATTGCTAACTCTTTACTAGCTGTTGGAGATAAAACATACATCATGTTTGACTCAGGCGTTCGCTCGGCTTCTGATGTTGTCAAGGCACTTGCTCTGGGTGCAAAGTTCGTCTTCGTTGGCCGGCTCTGGATTTGGGGTCTTGCCATCATGGGCGAGACGGGTGTCACCCATGTCATGAAGAGCCTTTTGGCAGACTTGGATATCCTGATGAATGTTGGTGGATTCAAGAATATTGGAGAGATAACAAGAGATGCGCTGGACAGTGAGCCAAAGGGATACCAGTTGTTGCCGACGGCGAGTAAGCTGTAGCGCTTGGAGTACGAAATTTGTTTATTTACCACATAGTTGAGGACGTACATATTTCGCAAACCAAGAGCTTGAGTTCATTTCCCAAAAAATACGTCTATATCACTCGCGTTTCTTAAGCGGCTTGAAAACCTGTAGAAGTAATTATTGTATGTTGGCCAATGGGCCATTGGGAAATGTTACATGGCGCTAGGCCAGGAAAGGCTGACCGCCGTAGTAGGGCTGGGAGATGGTCCAAGCACTCCCGAGCCACTCCAACTCAACTGCCACTCCCCTCAATGCGCAGCTTCCCCTCCTGTGACTGTAGACAATACACACAAACAGTATGTTTTGTATCGTCGCGCTTCATTGATTTTGTTATATCCCAAAGTTATTCGACCAGAAATCACTGCGACGCTACCCAAACCTACTTGTGTTGTCCGACATACAGACACGAGCCGGCCAGTCTAGAAATATCTCCGCGTTGACTGCCCATCATGTCAGTCATTCTCTGCACTGGTACGTGGAAGTGTTACGAAGCTCTCAAGAATAACACTAATTCCTTGTATAGCTGGTTATGACCACACTATTCGGTCCGTATACTTTTGAACTCGCATTGTTCGCAATCTATACTGACAGCTCAACGTCAGATTCTGGGAAGCGCTGTCTGGAATCTGCTCCCGCACCATCCCTCACCCAGACTCGCAAGTCAATCGTCTTTGCATATCGCCTGACAAGCGCTACCTCGCTGCCGCTGGCCACCACACTGTAAAGCTCTACGACATCAAATCGACCAACCCGAATGCGATCCTTACCTTTGACGGCCACACTTCGAACATTACCGGTGTCGCGTTTCACTGTGAATCCAAGTGGTTAGTCACTTCATCGGAAGATGGCACGGTTAAGATTTGGGATACACGGTCAGGCAATGTCCAGCGCAACTACACCCACGGTGTCCCGGTCAACGATGTGGTCATTCACCCAAACCAGGGAGAATTGATCAGTTGTGATCGCGGTGGCAACGTAAGGATCTGGGACCTCGGCGAGAACAAGTGCTCTCATCAGCTCATTCCTGAAGATGATGTTAGTGTCGCAAGTGTGACTGTTGCTAGTGATGGCAGCATGGTTTGTGCTGGAAATAACGCTGTGGGTTTGCCCAGTTTTCAAAGAGGAGAAACTCTAGAGCTGGATTCTAACAAGAGCAACAGGGCAACGTCTATGTCTGGCGAATGATTCAACGTAGTGACACTACATCCATCCTGCCCATATGCAAGTTTGTTGCACATACCACCTACATCACTCGCGTTCTTCTCTCCCCCGATGTCCGCCATCTAGCCACTTGCTCCGCCGACCACACTGCCCGCATTTGGTCTGTTGATACCTCAGCTCCCCATAACGTCACTCCCAACGACAATCTCCCATCAGCCAGCGAACGCGACCCAGCAGCTTTTCCACTCGAGACTACACTACACGGCCACCAGAGATGGGTCTGGGATTGCGCTTTCTCGGCCGACAGTGCATATCTGGTCACCGCCTGTTCCGACCATTATGCGCGATTGTGGGAACTAGGCAGTCAAAGTATTATTCGGCAATACAACGGACATCATCGCGGAGCCGTCTGTGTGGCCTTGAACGACACTGCTGTTGGTAATTAGGAATCACGATTTCACTCGGTAAGTAAGATTAGTGAATGATATGTGCATGAACCCATGTATTTGCATCAGCGTTGGCGTTTTGGCGGGAAATGATACTCAGTAATGGGGAGGTAATCAGTCAAACATTAGATGGGCATCTATGGCGAAATAGGAGGGTTTCTTGATCATCCAGGTCTGGGAAGTGATTATCAGGTTACATAGACGTGTGTCTGTTTGAGCGGCACGCTGTATTATGGAGATGCAAGTGTACAAATCATTGTTGCATAGTATACAAATGAAGAATGGAAAGGCAAACAAATGCAACAACGGGGGATAATCGTCGTATAGTCAGTTACTTGGTGAACGATAATACACTAATTTCCTTCTCTCTAGTTTGCTCCCCTTGTTGAAAAAAAAATCTTTCACTTCTTAAATCGCATTAATGAATTAGAATTCCCCATTTACACCCCAAACGCCATGATTCGCTATGCATGATTTTCCCCTTTAAACTCTTTCTATCAATAGAGGATACAAAAAGAATCATGACGACAAGGAAACGTAGACATGAGATAGAGAAAAAGATTGAGTCCCCAACGATGACAAGAAAAAACAATGACGGTTGGGAAAAACTCGCTGTGGCAGAACATTTGGGGAAGGGAAAAGGTGATATGGAAAAAAAGGGTAGGGGGAGAACCAAAAAAAAACGCCCAAACAAATGCTCTCTCTCCGACTTGATTTCCTCATACAAAACAACAACAACAAACAACAAACAACTCTTGAGCATAACACGTAAAATTCTTTAATCCATAATTCATTTCCTTGATGTCACCCTCCTTGGGTACTACTTACCCACGCACCCCCCCAACCATGCATGACTCCCTAACTCTTCCTCTTTACCCTTCTGCTCTCCATTTCCCCCCTACCCCCAGGTCTCATCTCTCCACTTCAAACAACAAAGGCTTTATTTCCGCATCAAAGCCGAGAACCAAGATGATATGTTCTTGCCGGACACATTGGGTGTACAAGGAGAAGAAGAAAGCGTGCTGGATGTTTCGGTGTGGTGCTTTGCCAAATCATCGCTTCTCCTACCGATGACTTGTGTTCTAATCTGAGAATACAACAAGGGCGCGTCGGCATGATGGATAGTAGCAGTGCTAGCACTGCGATATGGCGGCAGGGAACAAGAAAACGACGGCGAGAGATTCGGCGAGGAAGAAGGAAAAGAAGGAGGGAAAGGTAAAAGTGTAGTTGTTGGTATAGTATTTAACATTCCTTCTGGCACGGATGCTGGTGGTGGGGTTGGCAAGAATATGGGGTATCGAGGCGGCGCAGTGGCCTCGCTTCTTGCTCGTCTCGTCATGGGGATGCATGGCGAGGGATCGAAGCGTGGCATAGTGGTAGAAGATAAAGGTGTATGTATATGTGGAGGTGATGACGCCCCTGGCGTCGTAGGAAGATCTGAAGCCGTAGTCTCCGTATGGCTCATCTGCATGGATAGCGGAGCGTGATGGGGTGGCATACATGACCACGTTGTAGAGCGGCTTTGTGGCAGATCTAAAAACCCAGAGATATCAGCTCTTTGTGTAAGATACCCGAAAAGGTAGGACTAAGAATGAAGATGGAAAGTGGCCGTTGCCTAGGCGGGACCACCTTCATCTCTCTTAGCTTCCTCTGGGTTCTCTGGTGCACCCTCAGCTTCGGCCTCTCCATTCTGTCCTTCAGCGCCATCTCCCTCAGGAGGGGCGGCTGCGGCGGCAGCGGCAGCGGCTGCAGCGGCCTCAGCTTCCCTCGCCTGCTTCTCTGCCTTTGCTCTTTGGCGTGCAGCCTCACGCTCAAAGTTCTCCTTGCGGGCTCGCTCGTCCTTTGCTTTGCGCAGACGCTCTGTTTCTTCCACGCCACCACTCTTCTTCAGCTTTCCTTCTTCAACGAAATTGCCCAGTTCGCGCTTAAACTCGTCGTCGTTTCTTGTCGCGAGATCGCGTTGACGTGCCTTTTCAGCTCGCTCGATGGCTTCCAATCTGCCTTCGTGGTTTGGTTGCAGAGCCTTGACCTCGCCCAGGACACCATCACGAGCTTGCCGGGGGTCAATGACCTTGTCCGCCGCAACTGCATTAAGCATGCTGCGACCGCTCGCAGAGCGCATTCCCTTGCCATTTTCCTTCTCGCTCTCCAGGTTTTGTTGTTTAGTCGCCTGTTCAACCAGTTCCAGCGTCTGGGCCGCCTTCTCAAGATCGTCTTGCAAATCGGCCGCGAGTTCTTCTTGCATAGTAAGCATGTCTCGCTCCTCGCAGACAGTCTGCAGTTCTTGCTCCCAAATCTTGGTCCAGAGTGGCTTCTCCTTGGCCAAAACATCCTGCAACTTCTTGAGCTCTGCAGTGGCCATCGACAGATCTTTGGCTGTAGTCTCAAGTTGGCGAGGTAGGGGCCGAACTCCCCGCATAACAACGTCCTTTCTGAGATCTTCGACAAGATCCTGGAGATCATCCACCCTGTTGACAATCTTCTCTGAGTCGTCCTGCAAAGCCTTCTTTCCGTTGTTGATGTAGGCGCGGCCACTGTCACCGTCAAGCGAAGGCAACGCAACCTTAATAGCAGTAGATTTGACGGCGCCCGCCTTTGTACGTATTGTCGCCATGCTCGCTTGTATGTCCGAAACAAATGATGAATATGTCTGGCGGACAACGGCTAAATCTCGACGTAGCGCCTGCACTTCGTTGAGTTGAGTGGCCGACGTAACTGTACCTTCAGAAGGTCCACCACTTGGAATGGAGCGTGAAGCCAATAGAGCAGAGTTGCGATTGGAAGACAGAGGCGCTGCAGATATACCAGCAAGCTCCTTACTAGTTTGCTGCTGGCGTTCTGCAACGCGCTGTATAGTCGCTTGTTGATCCTCAACAACGGTCTTTATACTCTCCACCAACTTGCTGAGACCACCAAATTTGTCATCAATATGATTCTTTACTTCATCGAGCTGTTCCACATTCAGAACAAGGACCGCTCTGTCCTTGATGTCGCGTATGTCCTCTAACTCGTATCGTACACCGGAAACTGGGTCCTGAATATGAATCTCGGGTAGGTCGCCGTAGCGGTGCGTGTCCCAAGCGAACTTCTCGATAAAAGCTAGTTGCAGGCGAGCAGAAGAGAGTTCGGAACCATCAGCAAACACGTATTTCTTGATCTTACTCTTGTACTGAAGGAAAACGGTGAGTTCTTTCCCTTGTTGAGGCGATTGCTCTGGGATGAAATGTGAAGGCTGCGGAGATGGCGTCTTTGTTCTGTAAGAACTGTGGCGGCTCGCCGCTGGTCTAGGACTTCCGTCTTTGGCTGGTGAGCCAGGCGCGATTTCGGCTGGTTCAGACAATGGCCCGTTGAGAGTAGCGCCCAGAGCGA